TCCCACCACCACCCCCCCTCGCCCCCCCCACCCCCTCTCCCCCATACCAACCCCCCCACCCCCCACCCCCCCCACCCACACCCCCACCCTCACCCCTCCCTCCCCCCCCCCTCCCCCCCCCCCCCCCTCCCCCCCCCCCCCCAACCACTCCCCCCCCCTCCCCACCCTCCCCCTGCCCCCCCCCCTGTGTGCCCCCTCACCCCCGCCCCCCCCCCCGTCGACACCACCCCCACCTCCCCCCCCCCTAACGCTGTACCCCCACCCCCTCCCCCCCACCACCAACCACTCCTCCCCCCTCCACCCCCCCGCCTCCCCTCCCCTTCCCCCACCGTTACCCTACTGCCCCCACCACCCCACCTGCCCCAACCCCCCCCCCCCCCAACCCCCTTCACCCCCCCTCCCCCCCCTCACCTCCGCCCCCCCCTCCCTCCCCCCACCACACACACATCCCACGTCACCCTCCCCTCCCCCACGCCCGTGTGTGCACCTCCCCACCCCTCCCCCCCCCACACCCGCCCACACCGAACTCACCCCATCCGCCACCGCCCCCCCCCCACACCCTCACTCCACCCCCCCTCCCACCCCCCCCCCCACCCCCCCCTCCCCTACACACCCCTACTCCCACACCCCCCCCCCTCCAACCACCTCCCCACCCAACCACCCATCCCCCCACCCCCCCCCCCCCCCTCACCACACCACATCCCCCCCCCCCCCCTCACCCCCCCAACCAACCCCCCCTCTCCGCCCCTCTCCCCCCCCCTACACCCACCCTCCACTCCCCCCCCCGCGCCAACCCCACCCACACCCCCACCCCCCTCTGCACCGCCCCCCCATCCCCCCCCTACCCCCCCCCCCCCCCCCCCCCCCCAACCCCCCCCCCCCCCCCCCCCCCCACACAACCCCCCCCCCCCCCCCCCACCCCCCCCCCCCCCGCTGCATCGAACACCACCTGCTCCACCCCCATACCCCCCCGTCCCCCCCTCAACCCCCCAACCACTCCCCCCTCCCTCCCCCACACCCCTCCAACCACGTCCACCCCCTCCCCCCCCCCCCCCCTACCTCCCCCCCCCACACCCCCTGACCACCCCCCCCTCCTCCCCACACCCCCCCCCCCTGCCCCCCCACCCCCCCCCCCTCACCACCCCAATCCCACCACCTCCCACCCTGTGCCCCCCCCCCACCCACCTCCACCCCCCCAAACCCCCCCCCCCCCCCCCCACACCCCACCTCCCCCCCACCCCCCCCACCCACCCGACATCCCATCCCCCCCTCCCCATTCCACACCGCACACTCACCACCCTCACAAGCCAACCCGCACCCCCCTAACACCGCCCCAACCCTCTAGCTGTGCGCCCCACCCTCCAGCTGCTGTCCCCACCCCCCCCCTCCACACCAGAACCCTCCCCCCCCCTACACCTCACACACCCCATCCCCTCCACGTCCCCGGTGTCCTCGCGCACTTCCACACCCCTTCCCACCCGGCACCGCCTCCCCCCCCACCGTGCCACCCACCCCCCCCTCCCCTCCCGCCCCCCACCCCCCCCCCCCCCGTCCCACAACACACACACACCCCCCTCCCTGCCCCAACCCCCCACCCCCCCACCTCACCTCACTCCCCACAACCCTCTCACACTCTACACACTCCCCGCATCGCCTACCGTGTGCTCACACACCCGTCCCACACCCCCACCCACCCCTCCCACCCCCCACAGCCCCCCCCCTTTCCTCTATATCCCTTCGCCCCCCCTGCACCCCACCCCACCTATCTCCCACCCCCCCCCCCCCCCACCCCCCCCCTCCCCCCACTGACCTCATACCCCCGCACAACATCCCCTCCCCCCCACCCCGCCCCCATACCCCAACCCCCTCCCTACCTCACTCTCCACACCACCCCCCTCACCCCCAACACCACACATCCAACCCACCCCAACCCCCCACCCCCCAGCCCCACCCCCCCCCCCCCCCCCCCCCCCCCCCACACCCCCCCCCCACCCCACCCCCCCCCCCCCCCACCCACCCCCCACCCACCCTACCACACCCCCCCCCCCCCCCCCCCCCCGCTCGTCGCCCCCCCCCCCCCCCCCCCCACCCCCCCCACCCCTTCCCCTCACCCCCACCCCCTCCCCCACCCCCCCCCCCCCCCACCCCCCCCACCCCGCCAACCCCTCCACCCCCCCCCCCCCCCCACCCCCCACCCCCCCCCCCCCCCCTCCCCCCCCTCCCCCACACGGTGCACCCCCACACAACACACCACACCCCCCCCTGCAACCACACGCGCCACCCACCCCACCCTCCCCCTCCCCCCCCTACTCCCCAACACCCCCTCACTCCACCCCACTCTTCTCCCCATAACACACCCCTGCCCCTGCAACTACGCCCCCCCCCCCCCCACCTCCCCCCATCCCTCTCCCCCCCCCACTCCCCCCCCCCCCCACATCACACCCCCACCCCCCCCCCCCCCCCTCCCACCACACCCCCACCACCCCCCCCTGCCCCCACTCACCCACCCACCACCCCCCCCTCCCATCCCCCCCGACCATCCCCCAAACTCCCCCCCCCCCCCTCCCCCCCATCCCCCCCGCGCTACAACCCCCCCCACCCCACTCCACACCCCACCCACCCCACACCACCACACCCCCCTCCCCCCCCACCCTGCGCGCGCCACCCCCCACCTCGTGCACCACTCCACCATACTCCACCCCCACCCCCCCCTCACACCCCCCCCCAACGTCCCCCCCCGCACCCCACCACACCCCCCCCTCACCCCCCACCCCCCACCAACCCCCCCCCCCCCCCCCTCCCCGTCCCTCCCCCCCCCCACCCCACCCCCCCCCCCCCCCCCCCACCAACCGCCGCAGTCCCCACACCCCCCCCCCTCTACCCGCCCCCTTCACCAACCCTCCCCCCCACCCCGCACCCCTCAACCCCACTCCCCCCCCCCCCACCCACCCCCCCACCCCCCCCCCTCCCACCCCCCCTCACCCTCCCACCCCCCTCCCAACACCTCCGCCTGCAACCCCTTCCACTCACCCCCCTCCCCCCAGCCACCTCCCCGTCACACCCCAACCAACAGCCACTCCTCCCCCCCCCCACATCCCCCATGCTACCCACACACTCCCCTCGCCCCCACCACCCACCCCCGCCCGCCCCCCCCCACCCCCCAAGACTACCAGCCAACAAACCCCCCCCCCCACCCCACCCCTAACCCTCACCACCCCACCTACCCACACCAACCCTCCCCCCCGTGTGCCCAAACCCCCCACCGCCACAACCCAACCCAACCGCCCCCGCCCCCCCACCTACGTGACCCCCCCCCCACCCACAACTGCCCACACCCGATCCCCCCACACCACCACCCCACCCCCCCTACCCCGCCACACCCCCACACCCCCCCCCCCCCTCTCCACCCCCACAACCCCACCCTCCTACGCACCCCCCCTTACCCCCCCCCCCTCCACCCTCCCCCCCCCCCCCCCCCCAACACCCACCCCCATCCACACCAGAAGCCCCTCCACCCCCCCCCCCCGCCACCCCCCCCCGAACCCGCCACATACCACCCCCCACAACACCCTCCCTCCCCCCTCCCGCTCCCACCACAACCCCTCCCCCCACCCTGCCCCACACACCCCCCACACAACCCCCCCCCCCCCTACCCCCCCCACCCACGCCACTCCCCAACCCCCCACCCTCGGCCCGACCCCCACCAACTGCCCACCCCCCCCCATCCCCCCACAACCCATCTCCCCCACTGCCCCCACCTCACCCTCACCTCACACCCTCCCCCACCCCAACCCCGCCCCAACCACCCCCCCTCCCCCCCACCACCCCCCCCCCACACCCCCCCCCCCCTCCCCCCCCCCACCCCCACCCCCCACACAGTGTCCCCCAACGCCCCTCCACCCGGCCCCCCCACCCCGCCCCCTCCGCCCCCACACTAGCCCCCGCCCCCCAGTCCCACACCCACCCCCCCCACACCCCTAACCCCCCCCTCCCCCCCCCCTCCCCCCCCCCCTGCCCCTCTGTGCTCCCACCCCACTCACCCCCCCACGCAGCCCCCCCACCCCCCCCCCCCCAAACTCCCCCCGAACACCACCCCCCCCACCCCCCCAACCCCTCCCACCCCCCCACCACAACCCACCCCACCCCCCCCCCCCCCCACCCCCCCCGCCCCCGCCCCCCACCCCCCCCCACACCCTCCTCCCACCCCCCCTCCCACCCTCCCCCCCCCACCCCTCCCCCCCCCCACCCACCCCCACCCCCAGTCACCCCCACCCCCCCAACCCACACCCCCGAACCCCACCCCCCCCCCCACCCCCCCTCCCCCCTGTGTGCCCCCCCGTCTCCCCCCGCACACCCACCCCCTAACCCCCCCCCCTCCTACTGCCCCCCCCCCATTCCCCCCCCCACACACCACCCCCCCTCCCAACGCCCCCCCCCCTCCCCCCCCCTCCCCCCAATCTCCCCCCCCCCCCCCCACCCGTTCTCACCCACACCCCCCCCCCCCCCCTACCCCCCCGCCCCCCCCCCCCCCCCCCCTTACCCCCCCCCACCCACCCACACTCCCCACCCCACATACCCCCCTCACCCCCTTAATCCCCCCTCCCCCCCCCCACCCCACCCTCCACCTCCCTCCGTCATCCACTCTATACATCCCCCTGCCCCCCTCCCCCACCCCCCCCCCCCTCCCACCCCCCGCCCCACCCCCCCCCCCCCCCCCCCCCCCCACCCCCCCCCTCCTCCTACCCTCTACCCCCCTCCCCCTCCCCCCCCCCCCCCTACACCCCCCCCCCCACATCGCCCACATACCTCCCCCGCCTACACCCTTCCCCACCCCCCCCACACCACCCCCCCCCCTCCACCCCCCCCACACTCTCCCACCTCCCGCCGCCTCCCCCTCTCTCCCCCCCCCCCTACCCCCCCCCCCACCTCCCCCCCCCCTCCCCCGCACCTCCTCCCACCCCCCCACCCCCCCTCCCCCTCCCTCCCCCCCCCCCCCACACGCCACCCTCCACCCCCCCCCACCCCCCCCCCTCCACCCCCCCTCCCCCCCCCTACCCCCCCCACCTCCTGCCCGCCCCTCCCCCCACCCACCCCCTCCCCCCCCCCCCACCCCCCCCCCACCCCCCCACTCCCCCCCTCCCCCCCCCCCCCCTATCCCCCCCCCCCCCCCCCCCCCTCCCCCCCCCCCCCCCCCCACCCCCCCACCCTACCCCCCCCCCCACCCCTACCCTCCCTCCCCCTTACCCACGATCCCCCCCCTCCCCCTCCCCCCCGGCCCCAACTCCCCCACTACCCCCCCTCCAACCTACCCCCCCCCCCACCACACACCACCCACTGTGCCACCCCCCCCCCCCCCCCTCCCCCCTGGTTCGCCCGCCCACTCCTCACCCCACCACCCCACCCCCCCCCCCCCCCCCCCCCCCCCCCTACCCCCCCACCCCCCGCCCGGACACCCCCACACCACTCCGCCCCCCCCTACCCCTCCCCCCCTCCCCCCCATTCCATCCCCCACCCATCCCCTCAATCCCACCCCCCCCCCCCCCTCCCCCCAGCTACCCCTCAACCCCCACGCCCCCCCCCCCGACCCCCAACCCCCCACCCCCCCGCCCCACACCCCCCCCCCCCCCTTCCCCCCCGCCCCCCCACCACCCCCACCCCCTACCCACCCCACTGCCCCCCCCCCCCCAACCCCCCCCCAACACCCCCCCCCCCCCCCCCCCTCCCCAGTCTCCGTCCCCCCCCCCCCCCCCCCCCCCCCCCCCCCACCCCCCCCCCCCCACCACCCCCTCTCACCTCCCGTGCCCCACCCCCCCCCCCTCCACCCCCCCACCACCCAAACACCCACCCACCCCGCCCTCCCCCCCCCTTCCCCCACCCCCTCCTCCCCCCTCCTCCCCCCCCACCCCCCTCCCCCCCACCCAACTCCCCCCCACGCACCCCCCCACCCACCCCCCCCACCCCCCCACCCACCCAACCCACCCACCCCCCCCCCCCCCTCCCCCCCGCCCCCGCCCCCATAACCCTCCCCTCCCCCCCTCCCCTCGTGCCCCTCCACACACAACCCCCTCCTGGCTTGCACACCGTCCCCCACCCCCCACCCCCCGAACGTGCACACCCCGCGCCTGTGTACCCCCCCACGCTCCCCGCCCCCCGCCCCCCCCCCCCCGGCACACCAGCGACCCCACCCCGCTCCCCTCCCCCCCCCCCGCCCCCCCCCCCCTCCCGGTGCTGCACATGCGACCCCCCCTTGTGCCTCCCACCACCCCACGCCCCCCCCCCCCCCCCCCCCCCCCCTCCCCCCCCTCCCCCCAACCCTGACCACATCCCACCACCTACCCACCCTCCCCCCCTCCCACTCCCTCCCCCCCCCCCCTCAACCTCGCCCGCCCCCCCCCCTCCACAAACCCCCCCACACCCTACCCCACAGCCCACCAGGTCCCACACCCCCCGCACTCCCACACACAACCACACACCCACCCCCGACCCCCCCCACACCCCCACCCTATCCCACCACCCACGCCTACCCCCCCCCTCCCACTCCACCACACCCAACACTTGCACACCCACCGCGCACACCAACCTCTCCCCACACCCTCCTCCACCCCCCACCCACCCCCTCCCTCTCACGCCATGCCCAGCCCTCCACCCCCCCTCCCCCCACCTACCCGTACCCCCCCCCCCACACCCCACACAGCCCCCCCCCCCACACCCCACCCTGCCCACCCCACCCCCCCCCCCCTCACACCGCCCCCCACCCCCTGTCCCCACACCCCCACGTCCAGTGTGCCACCACACTGCATCCCCAAACCCGACACCCCCCCCGCGTCACCCCACACACACCCCACCCCCTCCCACTCCCCCCACACCCCCCCCCCACCCCGCCACCCATCACCACTGCCGCCCCCCCCCCACACACGCCCGTGCCCAGCCACACACTGCCCCCCCCCCTCCGCCCACCCCCCCACTGCCACCCCCCCCACCACCCACCCCCCCATTCCCTTCCCCCCCCAACCCCCCCCCCCCCCTCGCCACCCCCCCCCCCCCGCACACCCCGCCCCCCACGCACCCCGAGCACACCCCACACGCCCCCCTAACACTACCCCGCCCCTGCACCCTCCCCCCACACACACAACCTGCCACACCTCACGTGCCCCTGCCCATACTCCCACCCACCCTACCGCCCCACCCCCCACCCACCCCCCCACTACCACCAACCCCTTCCCCTGTGCCTCCCACCCCCACAGACAACCTTTGCGGGTGCGCGTGGAACACACACACACACCCCGCGCCCACCCTAAATGCCTCCATCCCCCCCCCCCCCCACCCACCCCCACTCACCCCCCCCCGCCCCCCCCCCCCACTGTGCCCACCCACACACCCCCCATCCCCCCCCCTACACCCCCCACACCACCCAATACCCCACCCCCCAGAACGACGCCCCTGCCACCGCCCCACCCCCCCTCCGCCCCCCACACGACCCGCCCCCCCCCCCCCTCGCCCCCACACCCCCCAACCCCCCCCGCCCCCCCCACCTCCAACCCCGCCCTCCCACCACACCCCCCCCCCACCCCCCCCCCCCCCCCCCTCCCCCCCCCCCCCCCCCAACCCCCCCTACTCACCCCCCCCACCCCCCCGCCCCCCACCACGCCCCCCCCGCACCCCACCTCCCCTAGCCCACCCACCCCCCCCTCACCACCTCCCCCACCGCCCACACACCCACCCCTTCCAGTACTACCCGCCTCCTCCCCCCCTGCCTGAAACCCCCATGAACCCACACCCCCCCCCTCCCCACTTGACCCCCCCACCCACACCCCCCCCCTATCCACCCTGTGTACCCCCCACACCACCCCCCCCCCACACTCCCCCCCCACCAGCCACACCCACATACCCCCCCCCCCCCCCTCCCCCACCCCCCCCCCACCCCCCACCCCCCCCGCCCCCCCCCCCCGTGTCACCCCCCGCCCCCCCCCCCCTCCCCTGCCTGCCCCCTACACCCCCTCGCCCCACCCCCCCCACCCCCCGCCCCTCCCCCGCCACGCCTGCCCACCACCCCCCCGTGTCCACCACCGCACGCACTCCACCCACCCATCACCGGTGACCTCGCCCACCCCCCTCCCCACCACACACCCCCACACACGTATCCTCCCCCCACCCCCCCCCCACACTCACACCACCCCCATACCACCCCCCCCCCCGCACCCCCCCCCTGCCCACCCCCTCCCCACCCCCTACCCCCCCCCACCCTCTGTCCCCCGATAGTCCACACCACCCACCCCCCATCGCCCCCCCCCCCACCCCCCCCCCTCCTCCCACCCCCCCCTCGTCCCCCGCACCACCACCCCCCACCCCCCACCCCCACAACACACACTCCCCCCACTGCCCCTCCACCCGTCCCACCTCCCCCCACCCCCCCGCCCTTCGCACACACCCCCCCCCCCCCCCCACCCCCCTACCCCCGCCCCCCCCCCCACCCCCCCCCTCACAACCCTCCCCCCCCCCCCCCGTCCTCTCCACCCCCACCCCCCCCCCCCGCCCCACCCACCCATCCCCCCCCCCACATCACCACCCCCGTCACGCCCACGACCCCCCACACCACCCCCCCCCCCCCACCACCCTCCCACCCCCCCCCCACTCCACCCCCCCCCCACCACAACCCCCCGCACCCCCGCCCCCCACCACCTCCCCCCCCCCACTTACCCCACAACGCATGCCCCCTCCCCCCCTCCCACACCCCCGCACACCACCCCCCCCCCCCACACCCGATCCCCCCCCCCCCCCCCCCTCACACCCCCCCCCCCCCTCCCCCGCCTCCACACCCCACCCCCCACACCCACCTCAGTGCCCCCCCCACACCCCCACCACCCACCCTCCACCCCCACTCCCACCCCCCCCCCCACCTCCCCCCCCCCCCACCCCCCATCGTGCTGCCCACCCGTCCTACCCCCTCAAAACACCACCCCAACCCACACCAACCCGCCCCCCCCCCCCCACCTCCACCCCACACCCCCCCACCCCACACCCCCAACCCCCCGTCCCACCCCCCCCCCCCCACACACACCCCCTCCCCCCCCCCCACCCCTCCCACCACCCCCCACACCCCCCCCCCCCCTCCCGCACCCCCCACCCCCCCACCCTCCCCCCACCACCCCCCCGCCCCCTCCGACCCTCCCCCCCCTCCCCCCCCCCTCACCACTCCACCCGACACCGCCCACCCCCCCCCCCTCCCCACCTCAACTCCGTCCCCCCACCCCCCACGCCCCCCCCCCCCCCCTCCCCCCCACCCCCCCATCCCCCCCCCACCCCCCCCCCCCCCCCCCCCCTCCCCCCCCATCCCCCCCCCCCGCCCCTCCTCCCCCCCTTGCCCCTCCCCCCCCCCCCCCCCCTCCCCTCCCCCCCCCCAACGCTCCTCCCCCCCCACCAATCCTCACCCCCCCACCTCCCCCCCCCCCCACCCACCCCCCTCCCGTCCCCCCCCCCCCTCCCCCTTCCCCCCCCCTCCCCCCCCCTCCCCCCCCCCCCCCCTCCTCCCCCACACGCCCACCCACCACACCCACCCCCCCCCCCTCCCCCCACAACCCACACCACATCACCCTCAACCCCCCCATCCACCCATCCTACCCCCACCTCCCCCCCCTCCCCACCACCCCCCAACCCCCCTCCCCCCTCCCCACTCCTCCACCCACACCTCCCACCCACCCCCCACCAACCCCATCCACCGACCCCACCCCACTCCACACCACCGACTCCCCCCCACCGCCACCCCCTGTCCCCCCCCCCCACCCACACCCCCAACCCCCTCCCACCCACGTCCCTCCCCACCCTCCCCCCCACACCCCCCCCCACCCCCGCACCGCATACACACGCCCCAGCCCCACCCCCCCCCACCCCGCCCACAACAATGCCTCCTGTCACTACTCACCCCCACCCACCCCCGACCCCCTCTCCACCCCCACCCCCCCCCACCCCCCCGCGCCTCACCCCCCCCCACCCCCCCCCCCCCCCCACACCCCGCCCCCACGCCCACCACCCACCCCCACCTTATCCCTCCCGGCCCCCCCCCCCCTCCCACCCCCCCCCCCCACTCTGCCCCTCCCGCCCCCCCCCAACCCCCTCCACCCCCCCCACCCACTCCCCTCCCCCCCACCACCTCCCCTCCCCCACACCCCACCCACCCCACCCCACCACCCCCCACACCTACCTCCCTCCCCCATCCCCCCCTCCCCCCCCCCCCCCCCTCCCACCCCCCCCCCCCCCACACACCCCTCTCACACCACCCACATACACCCCATCACCTCCCACCTACAGTCTCCAGCCCCCCCCACCCACTCCCCTCCCCCCCCCTCCCCCCCCCCCACTCTCCCCCCCCCCCCTAACCCCCCCATTCCACCCTCCCCCACCCCCCCCCACCTCCCTCCACACCCCTCCCCCTACCCTACCCCCCCCCCCATCCCCCCTCCACACACCCCTCCCCACCACTCCGCTCTACACACCCCGCCCCCCACCCCCCACCACCCCCCCCCCCCACCCACCCTCGTGTGCCCCTACCCGTGTTGTGTGACACTCACCCCCCCCAACCCCCTCCCCCCACCCCCCTCCCCCCCCCTCCCACCACCACACACCCGCCCCCCCCCCCCCCCTCCACCCCCCCCCCCCCCCAACCGCTCACGCGCCCCCCCCCCCCCTCCACTGACCCCCACCCCCACCCCCCCCCACTTCCCCTCCCCTCACACCACCTACCCCCCCCCCCCACCCACCCCAACACCACCCCCCTCCCACCCCCCCTCACATCCCCCCCCCACCCCCCCCGTCACACCCCCCACCCCCCCCCCCCCCCCTCCTCCCCCCCCCCCACCCACCGCCTCCACCCGCCCCGTCCCCCACAACCTCCCCCCCCTCCCCCCCCCCCCCCCCCCCCCCCCCCCCCCCCCACACCCCCCCCCCCCCCCCCCCCCCCCACCCCCCCCCCCCCCCCCCCCCACGCCCCCCCCGCCCCCACACCCACCCCCCCCCCCCCCCCCCCCACTTTCCCCCCCCCCCCCCCCCCAACCCTCCCCCCCCCCCCCCCCCCCCCCAACCTCCCCCTCCCCCCACCCCCCTCCCCCCCCCCCCCACCCCTACCCCCCCCCCTCCCCACCCCCCCCCCCCCACCTCCCCCCTTCCTTCCCCCCCCCCCCCCCTCTCCCCCCCCCCCCCAACCCC